TCGGCGTCTCGTACACTTGAGTACCAAATACTTCTCTCGCTATTGCCAAGCAAGCTATCAGGACGAATTTCGTTTTCATCCTGCAACAAAGATAAAAGAATCAACCTTATCTGTCTTTGTGATCAACAAATAAATTATTTTCTTTAACTTTTGATCTTATCATAATTTATAATTTTGATCAAATATTTGATCTAATATTAAAATTTATTTTTTAATTTTTTAATTTTTTAAATGTTATAACATATTACGTATTATATATAATTTAATTTAATATAATTATTTTCATTATTTTCTTTTTTTATTATTATTTTCTCTCGGTTATTTTAATTTAATCCTTGACGCGAAGCGCTTGATTTTCTTCTCAATCGATCTCTCGAGTATCTCTTGACAATTTCTCTGTAAGTACCAAGCGCGGATCCACGTGAAAGTGCATCTCGCCTTTCTCCATTCAGTTTATTGCAACGATTGTTCGGAACGACTACTACGGATCGAAATTAGGTCAAAATCGATGGAAAATACATATTTATTTGTCTCCAATAGTAATTTATACAATTTTAAAATTTTCAATCTTTGTTTATTCGAGAAAGCAAAGTTTTTATTGCTCATCGCAGTAACATTCTTACTCATCCACATATAAATACCGGTTTTAAGTAACGGTATCAGCTAAGACTGTCTTATGTGAAAACGTATACAGACGTGTAATTAAACTGAAGAGGGACTAACGAAAGCGAGAGGAAGTTGGGTGAAAGTCGTTTGTCCGGTTCATACAATGTGATGTCTCGCTGAGCAAATCTCATATTATTTTATTTCTTCCGAAATCGCTTCGTCAACACGGGGAAAGTAATTGCATAACGAATGCGGTGTGACGTCTACTGGGGCGGAATGATTTAAATTTCAAATTAAGTAAAGTATTTCCATACGCAATCTAATGTTTGTGATAGCATTTTAGAGTGACTAATACACCGACTTTAGAGACTAAAATCACTATATTTGGCAAAGGTATACATAACATGTCTTTACGCGTCTTTTATTTACCGCCTACGACAGTGAAAGTGATTACGTATTGTGTATACGTGAAAATAATTTCAATATTTTACTTTCCATTTGCCTTAACATCTCATTAAATCGCAAATTCACGATAATCTATGACATTTGTGCATCGTAGCTGTGCATCGCTTCCTGTATAATGTCCAAGTTGCAAGTAATGCAACCTTTATATTTTCTTAATCATCCTTCACAATTTCTTACACTAAATCAATTATCTCGAAGTAGGTCGACAATAGAAAAATAATTAAGTCGTCCCAGATCACTCGAATCATTAAAAATTTTATGGCTAAATTTTTAGCATCTCTATGTTTTATTATTTAAAATTAAATCATCGAATTTATTCCCCTTCTATTTCAGCTTTCTTTTGAAAATGAAAAACAAAATTTACAAAATACAAAAAATACTTGAATTTCCAAGTAAAATGAGTTTAAAGGTTCTATGCATTATTTCTGCTTTATACAAATTATCTACTTAATAAACTAGTTATTTAAATAGAAACTGATCAGGATCCAAGTAGCTTCTCTTAAATATTCACGGCACAGTAATTCGTCTTTAGCATCACAATAGTGCGTCGGATATTATGCTTGACAAATCGCGAATCTGAATAAAGACGAAATAGAGGCAGTATTTAAAGAAGAGAAAGTTTTTATACACATATATTCTACGATAGAGTGACACACGTAGGTTTCACTCCTAATTTCAATAAAGTATTTTATGTGATACATATATCTGCATATTTAAGAAATATATTGGAAAAAATCTCAATTTTCCAATTATTAAACAAATAACGATGCAAATATTATATTGCTTCGGCCAATCGATAATCGATAAAAACACTCCTTGCCGCGATTATTCTTTGTCGACGAACGCAAAAAAATATTTATCCCTCTGAAAAAAATAGGATCTCTAATGGATTAGACAAGTCTATTAATCTATGATTAAACATGAAATCCCATATCTTTTTCATGATTTGTAGTTAAAAGTACGTCATCATTACTTTGAAAATGACTATTTGACTATTTATTGTGAAGAATTATCTGTATAATTATTTCACTTATTATATACGTCCCGATCCTCTTTTGCCTCTATAATAATAATTTTAATTTTGTAGCTAATGAAGGAAATTATTAATATTAATGTTGATACATAGAAATTGTATTATTTGTATCTTAACTTTATTTTTCTCTAAAATTGCATAGATACTTTTGTAATTGTCAATTATATTTTTATACATATATATATATATATTTTTAAAAATTTTTAATTTTATATAAAATTACCATTATAACAACAAAGAAAGTAATCCTTTATAAATTATAAAAAATCATTAATTGTAATTTATAACATACCTGATCGTTTATCTTCAGATGCACCAGCGATAAACTATTTTTCTCGCTCCGTTACCGCGTCTTATATTCGGACTCTCGCTCTCTAACGGAACTTTCTCCCTGCACGATGCCGTGGTCTGTGCTTTTACCGAAGTCGTCACGAATCTTATATAGAAGCCGTCTCTTTCGGGGATGCTGGACCCGTGAACCACCGGTGGGGTAGATCCGTGAGTCATCGACGACGGGCGAACATCCGTCTTCGTGACGCTTCTTCTGGCACATCGTAAAGAAGCAAATCGGAAAAAAGTGTAATTCGAACAACGTAACGCGTACCTTGAATGTATCATCTTTTCGTCGCATGAATACGAAAAGTCGCATCTCCCGCCATTTTCTGTTCTTACTATATCAACATTTTATTTTTCGATTTACATATATTGAGAAACGATACATTTTATATATATATATATATATGATCAT